AAAACAAGAAGTGTCGCCTGCAGTTGTAAGAATTACGACGGTGTCTCACAATTCTCTTTTGATAATCTGTCAGTCAGGCAAGAAACATCAGAACTGATTTCTGTCAGACGTGTACAAATTTTTCTGGGCTTATTTTTGTCTTCAACATCAGTGAAGAGATTTCAACCCATATTCAGCAGCCATTAAGCCGGTTGTTCAAGCAGACGACAATTATAGTCGGCGTATACAAAATGGCCATTTCTCTCTCTCTCTCTCTCTCTCTCTCTCTCTCTCTCTCTCTCTGCTTTTTACTCATTATATTTTAATTCTATTTAAGTGGATTTGGGAGGCGACAGCTATTTCGAGGCAATCGATTCCAAAGTTTCAAATTATCAACAAGAGGAGATATCTCGCTTATGGTAACATTTAATCAAATTATGACAGCTGTCTATATTCGAATAACTATCTTGGAAATGGCTGATAGTAACAGGTGAGAATATATACACCAAACTGATGGTTAAACAGTGATTTTAGTAGTAGTAGTAGGAGGAGTAGTAGTAGTAGCAGTAATAGTAGTAGTAGTAGTAGTAGAGAGGTAAGTATTACTGTTACCAAGGAGCCGGCGTCAAGGAGATACGATCAGTTTCATAAATTTACTATAAATTATGAGTAAAAAACAAACAAAAAATAATGTCTATTCTATGAATACCGAATACTGTTTAATATCTTCTTATTCTATGCGACACGTCCCTTCAAAACATAAGCGATCATAACTCTCCACAACTTCCTATTTCGCTGCCTTCCCCTTGTCGCATCCACCAATATGTATATTGGTGAATTAGCTCCCTTGCTTAAAAAAAAAAAAGTAAAATATATACCTTTCTTGCTAATGGTTACCTCCTCCTAATTTTCGAAAGCGTTACTAGGGGCGCTCTCCGGCACTATATATATATTCTGCGATAAAATTTTATCATTCTATTTTTCTTTTTCCGCTTATACGACAACATATAAATTTCTCGCGCAAAAACGCGTTCCCTTATGGGCAACGCATGAAAAATACATACATACACGTACTTACGAAAATTCACTCACTTTCCACATTCATTTCTTACAGACATTATTGTCTTTGTCACTTGTAACAATTTGTTTTTAATACTGTATCATTTGTTTGTATATTTATATTATATATATATATATATATATATATATATATATATATATATATTCCCTTCTCTTCCTGGGTGGCGAAAACGTGTCGGTGGGCAGCTGAGGACGTGGGCTAGCACAATCAATGATGACCTAGCAGTACTATCGGGTCCACAAGTAGTTGGTCTTCGACGATGGAATCGCGATTGGCTCGCCATTTCGCGTGACCTGGCTCAGGATCGGCGAGCGTGGGCATCGAAGGTCCATGATTTGTCATTGCTGTTACTTTACATCTTTTAAGTGGACTCTTACTCCGAGTCTGCCATGTTTGTTGCCTGCATTTCAGGAGACACTTAGCACCTCTTTAATTCAGCACTCTTAGTACCAGGCCATTGTACCAGATCACAGCAATCGCTCCATGTATTGCTAACTCCTTCTCTATAAATAGTACTGATATTCTTTTCTCTAATTTCTTCAATAAAGCCACCTTTTCAACCCTAGATAAAAATTCATGCTTCGGCTTCTTACCTCTAGCAGCAACATCTATCTCTCCTACTCTCTTGCTGGCACCTTCTCTTTGAAATATGTTTGGGTGATTGATTAAGTCTTTTAAGACTTTTGGTGAAATTCTTGTAGAACTTTGTAAAGGAACTTGCCAAAATTGTTTTGATTATCCCATGTGTCTTCAACCATCGTTGGTCGTTTCCAAGAAAAGAAAGTAGAAATTAATAATCTTATTAGTTAAGTCTAACAAAATTAACAAATTTAAGTTTAAATGAATTTGAAAACTACATTTTAAAACTATATTTTACCTTATATAAAATGGGTGTGGGGGAAACAAATATTCGTACACATACAAATTTTTAATTTTTTGCATTTCCAACTAATGAATAAACATACTTTTCATATAATTAACTGTACACAGATGCATAATAACTAAATATGCATAGAAAACATAAAAAATTGATTTAATAGAAATAAATCCCATTTATCCATTTTAATGTTTGAAAAGGTATTTGTACAATACAAAAAAGACTGCATAACCTTTATTTAATACTTTGTAGAATCGTCATTATTCACATCTCGAGCAACCAACCACTTCTTGTAGTTCTCAAATAATGATTTACAAATTTTAATTGGTATTTTGTTCCATTCTTCTTCACATATGGTCTTCGTGATGTTTGTTGGAGCTCTCAATCGGATTGAATTTTCAAATAACGCCACAGATTCTCGATTGGGTTTTAAATCTGGGAACTGATTTGGCCATTTCAGGACATTTATATTATTTTCAGCAAGCCATTTCAGTGTGCTTAGAATCATTATTTAGTTGGAAGATGCAATCTGGAGGAAATTCAAGACTTTCAACCGAAATTATTAAATTTGCTTCTAAAATATTTTGATATGCTGCTGTATTCATTCTACCATCTATTACTGATATGTTGCCAGTACCTTTTGCAGATTTCACCATTAGAGCTGTGTTCTGTAGTTTGAAGGCATCGACATCTTTCCTCCATACATGATTTCTTGAATTACTTCCAAACAATTCAATTTTGGTTTCGTCTGTCCATAATATTCTTTCCCAATACGATTTTACCATAACCTTATGTTCATGAACAAATTTCAACATGGCATCTCTGTGTCTGTGGAGTTTTCCGAGGAGAGCGTGATTTTAGATTATTCCTATGAATTTCATTGTTTATTGTCCGTTTAATAACACAGATTCCTGATGAAAGCAAATCACCCTGAAACTCTTGACGAATAAACATTGTATTTTGTTTAATTTAACGCAATAATTTCCGTGGAGCATCTGTTTTTGTTTGGTTTTCAACATTTTTGAGATTTTTATACCTTGCAATGAATGAACTGATGGTATTAAATGGAATATTCAGGTTGTCTGAGATCTTCCTGTAACTTTTCCATTCATTCCAGAGCTTAAAAATTACTTCTTTTTGCGAATTTGCCAATTATTTACCTCTTGCCATTATGAAAACTTTCTTGCTGGAATATCAATGATAGAATGTTCTGTTCGTATTTTTAGACTAAAAATAACTAATGATAACATTATTAGAAGATTCTAGAATTTCTGGTGTTTTAATTTAGGGTTAGTAAAAGGGGTATAAAATTATTATATAATTATTTTTCTTTGTAGCTGTCACAGTTAAATTTCTAATTCCGACACGAACTCAGTCTATACCGGGGTTGAATAAGCTGAAATAGGCTTATTCTCCACATGAGGTGACTTTGGATTTTATTTTGTACTATATATATATATATATATATATATATATATATATATATATATATATATATATATATAAGTAAACATTGAAGTCAACACTCAGAGGCCACAGACTGTTTCATGTTTAACGGAATCATTACGCTACAGGTGTTGGTTTTTTCTCGACTATTTATATATACGGGTCAGTGGTGCATTGTGGGTAGTCTATTCTAACGATTATTTTGGCAGGAGTGGTTTGTTAATTTATTTATTTATTTGTTTTTATATATTTTTATTTAATTTTTTTCTTTTTTCGATGTTTAGTAACGTAGTAAAGATTTTTTTAGATGAGCTCTGATCCTTTATTTAGTAGTTTGTTTTGGTCTGGGAAGGTAATCATAGCTACTTTTCCTACAATTATTGGATCGATTGTTGCAGTCAATTCCCACGGATATTTTGGCTGGAGTGGTTTGTTAATTTGTTTATTATTTGCCTGGGTTCATTTATTTTATTTGCTTTTTCTTATTTGATTTTATTTTTTATTTTTATTTATTCTATTCAGTTTTCGATTTTTAAATAACAGTAAAAAATTGTTTCATATCTGTATTTTGAGATGAGTTCTGAACAGTTATTTAGTAGTTTAGTTTGAGAAGTTAATAATAATAATAGCTATTATATAGATAATTACCGCGTTGATACATATTAATTTATTTATTGTAATTTTTTCTGTTCCTTTAAAAAAGAAACTAAGAAGCTTGTTCGTGAATATGAGAGGAAGCTATGGAAAATAAGTAAATGAAAACATGCTGCTAAAATATACGCAATATATATATATATATATATATATATATATATATATATATATATGAAGAAATATACTCTCTTAAGGTGTGGAATATTTATGGGATAAAGTGCTCAATATCAGAGATAGAGCGTGTTAAATATAAAAATGAACATTGAAGTCAACACTTAAAGGCGATAATCTGGACGCAGACGCTAGCACGAAAAAGACTGTCGCCTCTAAGTGCTGACTTCAATGTTAATTTATACATATATATATATATATATATATACGAACACACAAACAAACACGCACATATATATTCACTTTTGGGAATATATAAGCTTAAACGCAAGGATATATCCATTAAATATTCAGTCTGAAACGAAAATGATAAGAATGAATGGCTTGTGAGATATGCTCAATGATTTTAATGCTATGTTGAGTTATTTTAGAATTATAAATACATAATCTAAGAAAGACGACGTTCTCCTCTGTGTCGTCATCTTTCTTGACACTAGGTGGCGTTATTTCGAAGCTCCACCTCTTCATCACTGTCATTGAGTCAAACTCGATGGGACAAAAGTCTTTAAATCGTTCTCAAACGTAGTTGTTTATTATTACCTCCCTTTTCCGATTTTAACTTGTTTTTTGTTGTTGTTTTTTTCCCAACGAATATTTTTGACGAATTGCGTAAAAGATGGTCAGTTCCGACAGCCGAACGAAACGGCAACTGAATGAAAAGTTACTTGTGTCATTGACCGTCTGCGGAGTTCCGCCCACTTGAAAGCCAAATCAGGGGAGAGAACTGAGACAGAATTACACACGTTAATTTTGCTTCCTTCATTCACTTGCCTTCAAATTCAATGAACCAAAATGGTTCATTTGGATTGCTTTCTCTGTTGTATTCCCCACCATGAAGTAATTCTCTTTCTTTCTTTCTTTCTTTCTTTCTTTCTTTCTTTCTTTCTTTCACTCGGTGTTTATTTATTTTCAGTTCTACGATACATTCTTTTTATTTCTCCGTTTGATTGTTTGTTTCTTTTTTTCTATTTTGTTTTTTTCTTTATTTCGTCCTTACATTTCACACCTTTCTATTTCCTACCTTTCTTTCTTTCTTTCTTTCTTTCTTTCTTTCTTTCTTTCTTTCTTTCTTTCGTTCGTTCTTTCTTTCTTTCTTTCTTTATTTATTTATTTGAATCTCAAGTTTCTTTTTATTTCTCCATTTGTTTATTTATTTATTTTGATCACATATGTCTTTCTATTCCCCCTTTGTTTCTTTCTTTTTTCTTTCTTCCTTTCTTTCTTAGAAACGTTAAACATGAAACTATATGAAAGAAAGAAAGAAAGAAAGAAAGAAAGAAAGAAAGAAAGAAAGAAAGAAAGAAAATAAGAAACAAATAAAGAAACAAAAAAAAACAAACAAACAAACAATGAAAATAGATAGAAAAAATGTGGGTGGGGAAGAAAGTAATCAACAAACAAGCAAGCTGAGGAATAAAAAGAAAGAAACGTTAAAATAAAAGAAAGAAAGAAAGAAAGAAAGAAAGAGAGAGAGAAAAAGAAAGAAAGAAAAAAGAAAGAAAGAAAGAAAGAAAGAAAGAAAGAAAGAAAGAAAGAAAAAAGAAAATAAGAAAAAAAAAAAAAAAAGAAACAAAAAAAACAAAACACACAATGAAAATAGATAAAAAAAAAAATGTGGGGAAGAAAAAGTAATAAACAAACAAGCAAGCTGAGGAATAAAAAGAAAGAAACGTTAAAATATAAAAAAGAAAGAAAGAAAGAAAGAAAGAAAGAAAGAAAGAAAGAAAGAAAGAAAGAAAGAAAAAGAAAGAAAGAAAGAAAGAAAGAAAATAAGAAAAAAGAAAGTAACAAACAAACAAATAAACACACAATGAAAATAGATAAAAAATGTGGGTGGGGAGAAAGTAATAAACAAACAAGCAAGCGGAGGAATAAACGGAAAGAAACGTTAAAATAAAAGAAAGAAAGAAAGAACAAAGTAGAGAAATGTTTATTTCGTTCCCCACATAATTTCTTTCTTTCTTTCTTTCTTTCTTTCTTTCTTTCTTTCTTTCTTTCTTTCTTTCGTTCGTTCGTTCTTGCTTTTTTTTTTTTTTTTTTTTAAATTCACCTTTCTTTTTATTTCTCCATTTGTTTGTGTTTATTTCTTTCTTTTGCCCTCATCGTCCTTTCTATTTCCCTTTCTTTCTTTTTTTTTTTTCTTTTGTTCTTTCCTAGAAACGTTAAACGTGAATCTAAAAGAAAGAAAAGAAATAAATAGAAAAATGTGGTAGAAAGAAAGAAAGAAAGAAAGAAGTGGGGGAATAAATATCAAGAAACGTGAAACTATAAGAAAAAAGTTCAAAGGAGAGAAATGTTTAATCCTTTCTTTCTTTCTTTTTTTTTCTTTCTTTCTTTCTTTCTTTCTTTCTTTCTTTCGCCGCTTGTTTCTTTCTTACTGTTTTTCTTTCTTCCAACGTTTTCCATAACACAATATTAACTCTTTGGCGAACGTCAGAGTCTTGATCAAAGTCAATAGCATTAGCAATTAAAACTTATAAAATAATAAAGATTTTCTCTCATTTGCCCTCATCTCTTACTGGTCAAAATAATTTAATTTCTTTTAAAAACCTTACCCCGAATTCAGAAAAAATTCGAACGCTTGCTTCTTTACGCTACCAAATGTCTTTATTGGTCTTCAAATAACGCGCAACAATGATGTTGAATTTTCACTGTGGCTACTCCATCAAATGAGACCGCGCGTTGTTTAATCAAAGCGAAAACAAAATGCTTTAAAAAGAAATTTTCATGTCAGGACGGACATTTTCGTAACATCACAGAAGAGGTCATAAAATGTTTTTATGATTAAAATAATGAATTTAGTTCAAGAGAAGAACAACATTCTTTGAGATTCATCATTTAAGAATTTAATGTTTTCGATTCTACGGACATTACAAAACCAAAAGTTCATGGCAAGTTGGCAACACCGGAGGAAAAATAGTCCTTCGTTCTTTGTTCATTTTTACCATTCTATTTGTCTATATTTGTTTTGTCAAAGAACGTAGAAAATTACCGATTCCTCTGTAACTGCAATGTCTACACTATTGTCGAAACGTTGTAATAAATATAGCGACAAAGATGAGGGCAATAGTCAGAATAATGTAAATATTGCAAAGAGCTTCCATTTATAAATGAATGATTGCAAGGTGCAGAAGTGCACTCAAAATCGTTTTGATATATTTTTGTAGCCTTCTCCTTCATTAGGGAATCTAACTAAACGATTTTGATCTTTGCGATTTTGATCTTTGCATATAGGTTTATTTAAAATGTAGTCCCTAACTGCACAATTTTCATACTAGGTGATTGATATAGCTTCACTGCAATATGTAAAATACCAAAATAATAAGCACGTGTCATTTATATATATATATATATATATATATATATATATATATATATATATATGATTATTTATTTAAAAATATGATTCCATCGCCATTTTTAAATAAATAATTATATTTAAGCTCCACTTTTGTATCGAGCACTGTTTTTTTAAAAATAATAACAAAAATACGAAAGAACTTTGGATTATTTACCTAACGAGTTCTTTCCTATTTTCTATAGATATATATATATATTCGACTCTCCCGTCGAATTCGACGTATGAGGGTCAAGCAGATCAGTTCCTAGGAAACCGAAAACAGCACGTGAGATTTGATTATAGTGGTGATAGTATCGTGCAGGACCATCCACACATTTTGAAGGGCCGAATATAGAGACCTGATGCACTACGTGCCACAAGGTCCCTAAACGTCCCCCCTCAGGTTTTGAATTCAGAGTTGTCCTTCTCCTAGACCAGTTGCCATCCATATATATATATACTATTACTTTAACTTGATATATGTATGATATATATATATCTGATGCAATGAGTACGAAAATAATATGTAAATTCTAACGTTCACAGCATTAATCCAAAAGTGGGCTCGTTACTGATTATAGAACAATAAATTTTCATTACCCATTTTCGTTCTCACCAGTCGAGGTGAAATTGAAATACATCGAAACGAACTTGCATCTTTGTAGTTAGTAAGCTGTTTTTTTTTCTCTATGAAAAAAAAAAATATATATATATATATATATATATATATATATATATTATTAATAGACATCTTATAAGTATAAAAACTATACTCCCTCGGAAAACCTTCGGTGTATTGATTTGCAAATAAACAAGCCAAAACCAAAGGGAAAAAAAGGTATAAAAAGAAAGAACCAAGAAAATGTACGTTGGCCGAAAATAATAGTCCAGCATGTAAGTCCAAGGCCCAAAGAAAAAAACCGATGCAGTACCCAAAATAACTAAATAAAGTGCTCAATACAATGAGTAAAGCAGACCTAGTTAAACCTAGAGCCAGACAAACCTACCAAGGTTTCACCTAAGCGGATCGTCCCTATTAAACTATATATATATATATATATATATATATATATATATAATATATATATAAAATGATTCATTAACTTCAAATGTGAATTTTTTCTTTTCACCGACTTCGAAGTTTCTTGGTAATGACCATTCATCAACAGATTTTGTCTTTTTTAAAAATAATATTTCAATTTTTTTCAGTTTATTCAACGTCTCTTTCAATTCGTTTTCTACACGTGCACATTGATGAATTTAACATTCTTTTACACGCGAAAGTTCATCAATTTTTGCTTCCGTTTACTTCTTCATTTTTACAGGTGGAGATTTTATCTTCCGGCTGTAAATTTTTCTTCGAAATTAAATATTTCTTCGAAGTAAACTTTAAATATTTTTTAAGGTTGATATTGAAGTTGTTATATTATTAATTGAATCGCAATATCAGTTAATTTGTATTATTAATGCAATTATTATATTTTAATCGATATATCGACAAAACGTGTCTATATTATTTAATGAAACATGCATGAATATATATATATATATATATATATATATATATATATATATATATATATATATATGAATTATTCACACAAACTAATGCAAAGGTTAATGATTTAAATGGCGAGACATCCATCATCGCAAACAATTCAAATAGTATACAAAAACCACCAGATCCTTTATGAATGAATTGATCCTTGTTTATATAAATTTCTGCCGTATTAGTTGTTATTTTTACTACAAGCTTTCGTCTGTTCCTACAGACATCTTCAGGTATAGAATAGAGATGTTGTTCTTGTTTTTTCTCTTAGTAATAAGAGGACAACGAAAATATATGTGTTGTTGTATCCGAAAATGCTATTGAAAAAGAGTTATTGGTTTTGGAACGCGCCAAAGCAACGCTGAGTTTGATTTTAAATTTTTAAAGTTTTTGCGTTTATACCAAATATGGTGATGAACAAATTTTTTTACTGGTAAAAAACGGATCTGGAGGTTTTTGTATACTATTTGAATTGTTTGCGATGATGGATGTCTCGCCATTTAAATCATTAACCTTTGCATTAGTTTTGTGTGAATAATTCATGTATTTGTAAATTGATTGCACGTTTATTGTAATTTAAATAACTGATCCAAGTGCGACTTTTAGATAATAAGTGCGACATTACTGTAATTATTGAACAATATAGTTCATGCCACTTTGACAGAAAAATTTACCAGTAAAAAATTTGTTCATCACCATATTTGGTATAAACGCAAACACTTTAAAAATTTAAAATCAAACTCAGCGTTGCTTTGGCGCGTTCCAAAACCAATAACTCTTTTTCAATAGCATTTTCGGATACAACAACACATATATTTTCGTTGTCCTCTTATTACTAAGAGAAAAACAAGAACAACATCTCTATTCTATACCTGAAGATGTCTGTAGGAACAGACGAAAGCTTGTAGTAAAAATAACAACTAATACGGCAGAAATTTATATAAACAAGGATCAATTCATTCATAAAGGATCTGGTGGTTTTTGTATACTATTTGAATTGTTTGCGATGATGGATGTCTCGCCATTTAAATCATTAACCTTTGCATTAGTTTTGTGTGAATAATTCATGTATTTGTAAATTGATTGCACGTTTATTGTAATATATATATATATATATATATATATATATATATATATATATATCAGAAAACTCTCAATTCATTAAAAGGACTCATAAAGTGTTGCAGTTAAGCACAGAATCAGTGGATTTCCCATACTCGCTACATACTTAACCATATTACTTTGTCAGTCATTTTTAATTATATATATATATATATATATAAAACATAGCCTGTCTATATTTCTGAGATGAGGTATTATGTACATTATTTACATTATTCGGAATATTGTCCTCATCTTTGT